CGTTCACAATATAACGTAACAATGGGCTTGTTCGTTTTAGCTGCACTGGGGCAGCTCTGGGCCTGCTCTAAATAAGATAATACAGGACAAACTATCTATCTGTCCTGTATTATCCTGTGTAGAGCAGACCCAGAGCAGCCCCAGTGTAGCTAAAACGAACAAGCCCAATGTACATAAATATGTCGAGGCTAGGGCTGCGTTCTAAAATTCACTGCCAGTACTAAAAATCTACAATATACGTAACGTAAACTGTAGATTTTCAGTACTGGCAGGGAATTTCGGAACACAGCCTAGGTTAGCGCGTGAAAATGTAGTTACAGAAAAAATACGGTACACAGTAGGTGGCGTTGTTACTAATCATTTCCCTTTCGTCTTTCCCAACACCCCGCAACTTTTGTGCTCTGTCCCTATATTCCTAAGTCTGTGTTACATATGTATGTTCGGCAAGATGGCTCTGTTGTAAATCGACAAACGATTTTACAAAATACACAAACAGTGGTTGACGAAGATTCTTGTGGTGATATTAAGTTTTGTAAAAAAACCATTTGAAGTAAGTTTTAACAATAGAACACATCATCTCTTTTTGTAGGTTTTTTCTTTATTAATTTACTGAGTATTCACAATTAACACAGAGACATCAGTTTGATACAGATGCATTAGAATTTAATGTATTTTGATATATGTCAAAAGACTATTTTGATAGCTTATCGTTAGAACTCATACGGAAAAAGCACTTTTCACTAGTTTTTATAAAATTGCAGAATTTATTGTGTTAAAGCTACTGGAATTTAAGAAGTGTATTATTAGGTTATGTTAGATTACCGTCACCGTGGCTGACACAATTAAAAGGTAAGAATATCTAATTATTTTGTAATAACTAAAACTTTTAAAATATCGATGCAGTGGTAATTTCAATCATTTACTGCTTTAGGCTTTAACAAACAATAAAACTTGTGACACATGTTATATATATATATATAGTGTGAAATATCATATATATACATGTTTGTAAAATTGCATTTTTTTGTCTGTTAGACAAAAACAAAAAAATATTAACATAAATAGAAATTCTATTTTAATGTAAATAACATAAGTTAAACTTATAAGTTATAAACTTTTTAACAAAATTGACGAAGAGCTTTTTATCAATAACACATTATTATCTTTAATAACTTCTAAAAAAAGTTTCCTTTTGTATTATAAAATTAGGATGAGTGCCAGACTTCTGAAAGATCCTGCTACTGCATCTAGCCGTATATTTGTGGGACATTTGCAAACTGATGATGTCACAAAACTGGAATTAGAAGAGCATTTTGCCAAATATGGCAATGTTATAGCATCGATAATAAATAGAGGTTTTGGATTTGTACAATTTGAAGATGAGCAATCCGCTCAAAAAGCTATTCAGAATGAAGATGGGGCGATGTTTAAAGGCAGACGTATAGGTATATACTTTGAAAGAAAAAATATATTAAGTATAAATAAAATATATAAATATAAGGATGATTTAGTTTTTTTTCAAATATGTAAATATTAATATATTGATACATTTTATATTTTTCTGTTACAGATGTCAGACCAGCGAAAAAGGATAATCAATCTAGTGGTGGAAATCCAGGAAATGCAAAGCAAATGGGTGGAGCAAATAACCAATTTAATTTGATGAACAATCAGTTCAGTAATTCAAATGAATCATTTGGTGGTAATAAATCAAATTATGCAGGTGGAAATACAAATTTTAATACAAATCAGAATTTTGGAAATGATGGTACTTTTGGTAACAACCAAAAAGACTTGAATGCTCCGAATAGAAGCGGAAGTACCCACTTTGATGATGGAAATCAAATTGGAAGTGGTGTGTGTGATAATGATCAATTTAATGGAAAACATATTAATAACAATAATAATAATGGGAATGATCATTTCAATAATCAGAATCGTGGAAACAATCAATTTAATCTAGGTAATCCAAATCGTGGAAATGATCAGTTTGCTATCGGTCACGGGAATCAAAATAGAGGGACTAACAATCAGTTTGGAAATAACAACCAGATGGGAAATCAGAATAGGCCTGGAGGAAATCAAAATCGAAATCAAACTAATCAGGGTAATAACCAAAACCAAAATGCTGGTTCTGGAGCTGGAGCAATTGCCACAGGAGGAGGAGGAGGAGGAGGAAGTGGAAATAATGCTGTTGGTGGTGGCAGCGGCGGCGGCCACAGAACACGAGGATCGAGAGGCGGAAAGAACAGAAACAAGAACAACCAAAACAATTCAAATGCGAACAATTTCAGAGATCGAAGTCCAATTAATCGAGGTAATAGAATAGAAGACAAAACAAATAGAGAATGGGATCACAAACAAGGAGATAGACTACGCGGCAACAATTTTGCTCGAGATTCATTTAGCGACAGTGGGAATCGTTATGATGATTTTAAGGCTTCTGGTACTAGAGACACAAACACAACCTTTGGGTAAAATATATAATCACTTATATAATAATTAAAAATTTTAATAATTATGCGCTTATTTGCTTATGTAGTAGATAAAATTTTATCGAGATGCAATTATCAGTTTATCAATTGAATAATATGATAAAAACAAATATTTGCATGTGTGAATATAAATAATGAAATATATGTCTGTTTTACAGAAACACAAGTAATTCATCTGACTATCTCGCTGCCGAGAAGAATGATTGTGAAATTATTGTTGTTAATAAAGCGTTGACGTAAGATGCCAATTCTTATAATTACATATAAAGTTAGATTTTTGTGTTATAAATGACACGTATTAATTTATTAAACAGGAAATATGCAGAAGATATTGAATTACGATTGAAGCAAGTGGGTCTAATGGTAGATTTGCTATTTCCAAATGAAGACGTTCCTTTAAGTCGTGTTTTGGGGAATATCGCAAGTCGTGGATGCTTGTACGCTGTAGTCGTTACACCTATTAACCATGAACACCATTCCTTGACATTGAATATTTTACATGGTTTACCACAAGGTATATATGTATATATAAAAGATAACAGTTTTTACAACTAATATTCTTGTATTTAAATGTGATTGCGCAACACATGACATTAATCAACATTGTTATATTGTAGAACATAGAAATATGCCCGTTGAGGATGCTATAAATCTGATATCACGAGATTTTACAAATTACAAAGCCGGAGGTCGCTCAGTTCCTTTGAACACACCTCTTGCAAATGAACGTCATCCGGATGCTATACAAGTTCTTCTAAATATGTTGGCTGACAATCATCAGCTCACAGTTCTACAATATGATCGCGTCATAAAGTATCTTGATATGAAACGCGAAGAGCAAGTACAAGTTGAATTGGGCGATGTGAAGGATTTGCCAGTGACAACGCCACTCACTCCAGTCAACGATCCAAAACAGGCCGAATTACAAACAAGAATATTGAATATCTTGAATAATAGTAAAACAAGCACATCGACAACAGTGGAACCCAGCCCAGTACCACCACCGACTTTAGCACCGACCCCGGTACCTCCAGCTAATTGGGGAACAGGTAAAAATTATGATAAAAATTATGATTTGTTGAATTAAATCCATATCGGATATTAAAAATGAAAATCGTGACAAAGAGAACAGAGATTTCTGTTTTTAATTAAGTATCATGCAATCTCAATTTTCAATACAAAGTCTGATATGAATACTTATATTGACAAGATTTGAATCAGAAGTACATGTTGCTGACTTCAATATTAATATTTATAGCATTCATATACAAGATATTTTAAAAGCTAGATTTTTAACTAAAACATTTGCAAGTAAAAAACTTAATTCTTGAAATATAACAATATTTAAGTAAAATATGCTCTTGAAAATTTATTACGGCAGTCAAAATTACAAATTGCATAAACATTTATCGTGTTATGTGAATAGCATCAAACACTGCCACATCATCCACGACAACCACTTCTACAGGAGTTTCGCCATCGCCACTTTTAAACGATCCCACGGTTCAGAAAGCTCTTGACAGTTTATTGCAAGGAAATTTATTGAAAATATCGGTGATCAACAACCGCCACCTGCAACGATAGCTGGAGCGCCGTTGTTTGCCGCTTTTTCGAATATCGGCAGATTTTAATTGCGATAAGTTTCATCGATGTAATCATGTAATTTTTAAGATATACTTTATACTTTCTTGATTTTATTCGACAATTACACAATCTCACAGATGCTATAAACAAAAAAAGGACATAGAAACAGCATTGCGAGACATACATAATAAATAATATTTTAGTACATTGTATATTAATCATAAAATACTGAATTAACATAAGAGATTTATAACTTTAAAAGCACAGCAACTATAATTCATGTGATTACTGTTACTGCTTATCTGGTATCATTGATAATATATTTCATTCTAAAAGTAGTGACTATATGTTTACTGAATATGCTTTAATATACTGCATGTTGTTTGTTAGAGATATTATATTTCGTATATATTCTACATAGGACAAATGTTAGAATATATACTATATACTATACACAAAATGTTCATACACAAAATAAAAATGACTTGTTTTTCGCAATTACGCTTTCATGTAGAAATTAATTTTTACTTATTGTTTTAAAAAGTACATAAATATGCGATATAATCAAGAATATACTCTTTCTAATGTATGAAATTTTTTGTCTATATGTCCCTATGCAGAATATTTTGACATTGTCTCGACAATTATTTTTTTATTGCAATATTAAAAATTATAACTTAAAGAAAACAAATATTATAAATGAATGTCATGAGAGATGTATTTCTTTCTAGTTGTTATTATATTAAATGTTATATATCATTTATATTATACAAAATTAGTGATTGAGAAAGGTAGGAAGGTTTAAAGCCTAAACTTTGGTTCATTATAATAGGGAAATGAATTAATTTAAATCATTGCTCTCTTATTTATTACTTATTTATTACATGTTCAGAGAACAAAAAAATTAAAAGAAAATTGAAAACAATTACAGCAGTAACAATCAATAAAGCAGTGCAAAGCTTAGATGACAAAATGAAAGTTATTACAAGTATTAAGGGGTTTTTTTATACTTTGTAAGCAACTATAAATAGTAGCAGATTATTACATGTTTGTTTGCTTCCAAACGGTCGTGTATTGCTTTACATTTTCTTCTAATCGAGAATTTTTTAATTTAGTAAATAGGAAATGATTTCTCAGAAATTCTCTAAAGAGATTATATTTTTTTTTAAATATACAAAGCAAATTTATCTTTCAAATTTTTTAAATTTTTTATCTTTTTTAAATTACTAATCAGTAGCGCACATATTGCACATGCGCGACTCTCAACCGTGAAGTTAGGGTGCATCCCGACGAAGGAAGAAATAGCGGAACGGAACAGTAGCGGAAAAGAAACTAGATGGAAAGTAGCCAATCAGAATGATTCCGTTTCAATTCCGTTCCGCTTTTTAACCACTGGGTTCCCCATGGCACGGAACTGTTACGGAACGGAAAAATTTCTAACCTATCGACATGAAAAATTCGCGAAGTGTCCGTTTGTTTATTCGTTTTGCAACGTACGTGCATTTTGGAAGCTGTTGGAAGGAATAAAAAGTTTTAACTAATTGTATTCTTCGCATTTTTTTGTTGCCAACTTAATTGTGTTCTTTTCCATTCATTTATTTTATTTAATAATACTTTTCTTATACATCTTATTCTTTTTTCAGAATATTTGAAATTTTTACTGGCAAAACATTTGTAAAGATTGAAGACTCTGATATATTCTCATACTCATCTTCATGAGTTTTTTCGTATTCGTCTAAATCAATCCTCTTTTTTTCTGCAACAAAAAATATATAAATTAATTATTATTTATTCGCTAATGTAAGTTGCGTATAATAAACATTCATACTTCGTGATTTCGGTAAGACTGGAGACAGTGATGTGGAAGTATTATCATCAGTGATAGGAGTCAGAACATCATCCACGCTGCTTGTTGATGTGGAAGGAATGCTGTTGCAACTTGAAGCTTGCTCTTCACACATTGATCTTAAAGACGTTACGGTTCTGAAATAAATGTTAGGATGTTATTACTATATAATTATTATCAATAAAACTACCACTATTCTTGAACTTACTGTCGATATTCCAACATATCATTTAAAAAATTCATTACATTGTAGTGACGAAAGGACGGTTTCATTTCATATTTTTTGATATACCAGCCGCACCACTTTTTTGCACAATACTTTGTTTTTTTTTAAATATATTTCTTGCTTTCCTATAACAATCTTTTAAATAGGTCCATCGTTTTTCCGCTTCAGTAGCGGTATATAAACCTACAACACATAATGTAATTAAAAAATATATTTAAATGTGTAATACTTGTTTTATATATACATATGTGTGCGTGTGTGTTTGCTTATATACAGAAAACCTTGCAAATAAATATATATATAAGTAAATAAATATAAATAAATATATAAATAAATAAATATAAATACTACCTTTCAAACGTACGCTGACTTCTTGCCATAAGCTGTCTTTTTGTTTCCTTCCTCGCTCTTTCACCGGTATGCGAAAATCATATAATGCTGGTCTTTCTTTTACTGCACTTATTAAATCTTCATCTAGTTTATCGATATCAATGTGTTCCTCAAGATTTTCATCAATATTTTCTTTCTCGTAGGTACTTTCTTCAATAGTGCTATTTCCACCAGTCTCATTCTCTACATGCCAATTAATTAAATTAATGACAGTTCTTAATTAATTAAATGAATGACAGTTCTTAAAAAATAAATAATAGTTTGTTGAATATATTGCCTCTTTTGTAGACACAAATATACGTACCATTTCTAAAAAGATTTTTATCCTTATCCATTAATAATTCTTTACACTTTCCAA